TGTGTGATCCACATAGCATCTCTTTTCTGAATTAATATTAGCAAGTGTGGATATGCGTCATTCTATCAAGAAATGACAGCTTGTATACACTCACTTGACACCTTTATAACTCATTGCACCACTAATGTAAATGTATGAGAAAGTGACTGACAATTGGCAGACCAATGATTTTAGGTCTTTAAACACTCCTACGGTGCTGCTGGCCAGCAATCTGGCCACTAGACATACAGTTACACCTGATCCTACTTCCCAGTGGCTCCAAGTTTTAATTTAGCCTCAGGCTTGGCCATGTTTCGGATGCTGATAAATTTAGTGGGGGATTAAGGAGCCCAAAAGCCATGAGAGGCCCTTAAAAGGAGATTTAGGGCGGGAGAGAGAGAGAGTTAAGCAAAGCATCTTGACTTGCCTTGAATGGTGATCCAGTACGGAGATTCACTGAAGAAGCAGCTCGCACTGTGATTTTGGAGAGAGATGCACATCTTTTGCATTGAAACTTTTCTCCTTATTCTAACGCTTTCTAAATGTTCCTATTTATTCGGAAACCCTTAAAGCTGATGTATGTTATTCTTTAGGAGCCTTAAACACTTATAGAGTTAGACACCTTATGGTATGTCAAATGTGGTGGAACTAAAAAATTCCAGCATATGCCACCAACTTCTAAACTCAGATCCCAAAAGGGCTGGTCTGAGAGCACATTTTAGCTGATGAATTCCCCCTATGACCTTTCTCTTCCTCTTATAATCTTTTAATAATAAAACATCAGATATGCACAGATACTATATTACATAAGTAGCGGTAGCAGTACTTAAAGATTATTAACAATATTCAACAGGAGATTTTAAAGCATTTGCACCTTGCGAGTGCCAGCATTCTGGCGCAAGTCAGCATTCCTTACTGTTTGCACCTGTTGCGGTTAGCGGGTTTCTCTTTGCAAAAGTGAAAACTGCAAGACTTAACCAATGCGGCTAACAACAGATTAATCTATCAGTTACCACTTAGCAAATACTGTACGGCTGCTCATAACTGACATATTTGGTAAGCCACTTCAGAAGGATTCCATGATGACTTTGAAAGTCTATTCATTTCTGAGCGTGCATGGTTTTATTGAATTGAATTCCGATGTATCTAGTTTGGGTATATACCTAAATAGAGGCTACTATAAGTCCTAAATGAGGAACTGTTGAAGCGTTACAGCTTTCTAACTGCTGGTCTGTACAATATAGATGATATAAGCATTGTTTTGCAAGTTGCATTCCATGGAGTCACAAAATCTAGGAGTCTAGGCCATGTGTTTTGGGCCTTCCAGCTCAAGGTTGGGACTTTAGATTGCTGAACACTGGTGGTATTGTGGATTGACTGTTCCTCTACAACAGTGTTTTTCAACTCCAGTCCTCATGGACCCCCAACAGGTCATGTTTTCAGGATTTCCCTCAGATGAAACAGCTGTGGTAATTACTAAGGCAGTGAAACTGATCAAATCACCTGTGCAAAATAATGGAAATCCTGAAAACATGACTTGTTGGGGGTCCATGAGGACTGGAGTTGAGAAACACTGCTCTACAAAGACCCAATCTCACAAATCCCTAGAGCCTGGTTATATAACCCAAGGTGTCACTTTGAGGGGATACATGGGACCAAATATCTGAAGGGTCAAGAAACATGTTGCTTCCCTGCACATTTTTAGAGGTCAGTATCCCTACACATGGCAGCTTGTCCAGTGTAGTTTGTCTCCAGAGGACATGGCAGGAAAATTTTCTCTACATCAGTCACTCCAGTGTGATCTCACGCTACTTGGCATATTTCCTGTTGTGTTTTTTTTACTATATTGCAGGCTCTTCAGAGCAAATTCTCCACATGGACGACTCTCCTGGGAATTTTCTCACCTATAGCAGTATTTCCACATATCATGCTCTTAACAAGACATTATGGGAATTATTTCCTAAAACTGGAGAGTGCAAAATCTGGTGCAGCTCTGCATAGAAACCAATAATCTTCCAGGTTTTATTGCCAAAGCTAAATTAAATAAGCTGAAGTTAGAAGCTGATTGGTTACACAACTGCACCAGAGTGCTCCAGTTTTAGTAAATCTGAACTGGTCAAACTTTGCTTCATAGTTGGCCCTGTAGACACCTTCCCACCTGACATTCCTTCAACTAAAAATTAGCAGGAGGCAGGCAGAAAATTGTCAGCTGAACAGAAGCTGAAAGCCACTGGCTTTGACTGTTATAATACAATCCACGGTGGTATAGCGTGGAGAGAAGAATCTGTTGGAATTTTTGCAGGCTGAATGAAAAAAATCCAAGTGTGTATGGCCAACCTAAGCTTTATCTTGAGCGAATGAGAGCAGGGAGATCAGAATCTCGTAATTTCAGGGTCCTAATATGTTAAAAATCAAGTGTTTCAGGACAGGAAAAGTAGGAACCATTTTAAAGGGTAAGTTTACAAAAATGAACAAACTCCAAATATCATGGTCAACCCTCCAGATCCCGCTGCATATAGTGGCTGTGATGCCCAAGCTGTAGGTATGGCAGTCTGTACACTGTACACTGCAAAGCACAGAGTGAGCATCCATCATAATGCTTGCAATGGCAAGTGCTCTTTGGTCAGGGTGATTATGTGGCTATGCTGAGCAATGAGAAGTGCTTCTTTCTTCTGGGATACCTTAATGGAAGATAACCTCATATGTGCCTTTTAGTGGTCAGCACTGTCACCTGGTTGCACTGACCAATGAGCACTTGCCATTGCAAGCATTATGATGGATACTCACTCCAGGGCTGTGCATTGAGATGCCACAATGGCAGCACGGGGCACCCTGGCCACTATGTGCAATAAGGTCTGGAGGGGTGGCCAGAATATGTAGAGCAGAGGCAGGCTGACAACTCAAGGGGCCCCCGGCAATAGGAGATCATGGGGCCCCCCTGTGTCCACACTTAAGGGGCCTGCATGGAAGTTCCTGGCTTCTTTCTGTAGAAGCCACTGGGCACTACCAGGTGTAGGATGGCTGCCGGAAGTGTGAAAAATATTGTGTGTGGTTTTTGGAGACTCTAGGTAGTGCCCGCTGGTTACATACAGTGATACAATAAAGATGCCTGATGATTGAGGGGTTAATTGCCTTGTGCGGCTGTTCGGCTCCCACTCAGCCCTTCCTGACAGGGTTGCAAACCTCCCAAAACTTTTTTTTTACTGAAAAAACAGAAAATCTACTGGCAGAATGCATTTTTTAGTGAGAACATGAAGTATAGCAGAAACTCCTATTAGAAACTGAGGGGGAAGGGGGAGAGAGAGGGGGGGAGGGAGAGAGAGGAGAGGGAAAAGAGAAAAGGGCAGAGAGTGAGGGAGAAAGGGGAGGGGAGAGAGAATGTGAGATGAGAGGGGGGGAGGGGGGGTGAAAGAGGGAGAAGGGGTTGAGGGTGTGTGTGAGAGAGGGGGTGGTGAGAGAAGGGGGTGAGAGAGAGAGAGGGTTGAGAGACAGAGGGAGGTGAAGGGGGGTGAGAGAGAGGGTGAGAGTGGGGGGTTGTGAGAGAGAGGGGAGTGAGAGTCAAAGAGAGGGGTGAGAGACGGGGGTGAGTGAGAGAGAGGGGAAGTGAGAGACAGAGAGGTGGTAAGAGATTGAGAGGGGGGCAAGAGAGAGGGAGGTGAGAAGGGGTGAGTGAGAGAGGGGGGGAGAGAGGGAGGGGTGCTACCCTTCCCCCATACTACACTAGGAGACCCCCCCAGCCCCCCTGTATAATGTTCTACAATGTTCATATGCCTGTAATGTACCTGGATCCTATCAGCAGGCTTCCCTGATCACTACATTAGCTGTGGTGAAGGACTCAGCGTATTGTCATGTAATCTAATATCACATACTCCTCTCACCTTCCCGCTGCCTGCCAGCTCCATCACCATATAACGAGGCCAGGTCACAGCCCAGGACCCTGACCACCTCCGACACTACATCACACCTGAGCTACTTCCGGCATCAGGTTGGGTGCCACCATCACCTCCTCCTCCGCTCTCCTTACAGCAGTCCCTTGCTCGTCCTGCCTCCTCTTCCGCTCCCACTCTGGGCTCCCCTAACCCCTCTGCCAGGCCCCACTCCAAACCACATTCCTGTCTGGATAATGTGTCCTAGTTTCAGGGGGACTCATAATTCAGACCAAGTTAAATAAACCGCAACCTGTATGTGAAGCCTCTCATGGGGCACCCTACTGACCCCGGGCACTCGGGCACTGCCTGAATGGTCAGTTGCCCCTGGTGTGGAGTTAATTTGCTTTTTAATTTTTCATGAAAAGGTGAACTTACCCTTTAAATAGAAGCCCGATTTTCTTAGTAGCCATTTTGATGCACTGAGTCATCTTTCCTCTGCATTAAATAACTGACCTCTACTTGCTTGTGTTCATTTTTTTTTTAATTTTTTTAAATCTGCCATGGCTTTGTGCTAGTATTGCAGCTGTTCTAGAGCTGGGAGGTTTGGTGGCAGGCTGCTAATTGGCCGCTGTTCTAAGAGTAATGAATTTTACAGCATGTCATAGAATGCTTCTAATTAAAAATACAACTCTCCTGCACATATTGGCCTCACCGGCTCCAGGCACAAGCTCCCATATAATGGACACGGAGCCTAACGCTGAAACCTGGGCTCTAACATTCTTGTGATTTGCTATTTTCTAGTCCTGTTGTTATGGATGATGCTGTGACATGCAAACAGAAGTAGTGAGATGCAAATGATCCTTCCAAGTGCATTTCTTTTATCCGTCCTTCATTCTGATCTGTTTGGAAACTTGTGATGACATTTTGAGGGAAAGGATTCATCCCCAAATGCTAATTTGTATTGTTTCCTAATAACTTCCTTTTCTAATTCTCCAAGAAGGAAAACAACAATTTCTGGGAGGTAAATAAATGTGCATCCAGGGGCGGACTGACCATTCGAGCAGTGGGCACTGCCCGAGGGCCCAGGGTCAGTAGGGGGCCCAAGAAATGCCCCTGGTACCTTTTTATAGGCTTTTTTGGGTGTGCTTTGAGTGTGGGCAAGCACACAGGGGCCCCATGATCCCCTATTGCCCGGGGGCCCCATGAGTTGTCAGTCCACCCCTGTTTGCACCTGTAAATCTGTGACAAACCTCAGCAATTTAAACCGAGAATATAATGAAAACAAATATTATCTGATGTATACTGACAGCTTAAAGTGGGCCTGTGGTCATCCTATGGATATTCAAGTGTTCTCATATTTCTAACAAGCAGTAAGTGCTTGCTTACACATGTATTGCCCTCTGAAGAGTGATCTGCAGTGGATCACTTTGCGAAAGCCTTTTGACAGGGGGTGAAGGAGTGATATGTTGCCTCCTCGCCACCTGTTTTAACCCCTAAAATTCTGCACCACTATGCTTCAACTGCATTTCACTTGAATGGGTCGTATGCAATGGGCTGAACTACCCTCTGAACATGACAGGGGGTATCATTTTTGCTGAGCCGCGAAGCCCTTCTGGCTGTCTAAGCTTAAGGGAGGAGAGGGCCTCAAAATGTGGCTATACTGTCTGTTTTTACCGCCCCCAAACTACAAGTGTGGATTTAGCCTTAACCGCTTAAGAACCGCCCTATAGCAGATATTCTGCTACAGGGCGGCACCTGTGCGCAGAATCACGTATATATACGTGATTTTGCATTTCCGGGTTTACACTGAGCATCTCCGATGGGGAGGAAGATTGTTTCGTTTACAAACAATCTTCCTCCCTCTCAGCTTGAGCACACTGCTCGGGATGGCTGTGCACAGTACAGCTATCCCGATCAGTGTGCTTAAAGTGAAGAACACATCCCCCGCCCCCTAGTAAAACACTCCCAGCACACAGTTAACCCTTTTATTGCCCCTCACATTCCTGCCCAGTGTCAGTGCTTTTTTTTTTTTTTTTAGCACTGATCACTGTATTGGTGTCACTGAGGTGTCAGTGACACCAGGTTAGTACCCCCCCCCCAGTGTCAGAATGTTTACCACAGTCCCTCAGTCCTGCAGTCCCGCTAAAAGTTGCTGATCATCGTCATTACTAGTAGAAAAAGAAAATCATATTATCTATACCACCATTTGTAAAGGCTATAACTTTCACGTAAACCAATTTACATGTATTGGGATTTTTTTTTTTAGCAAAGACATGTAGCAGAATAAATTTTGGCCTAAATTTATGGCGAAATTTTATTTTTTCAAATTTTTTACTGTACATGTTTAATTGCAAAAAGTGCAAAATATTGTTTTTTTTTTCTCAAAATTGTAGGTCTTTTTTTGCTTATAGTGCAAAAAACAAACAAACGCACAGGCGATCAAATACCACCAAAAGAAAGCTCAATTTGTGGGGAAAAAAAAGACGTAAATTTAATTTGGGTGCAGTGTTGCACGATCGCGCAATTGTCCGTTAAAGTAACACAGCTCCATAACACAGAAAATGGCCTGGTCATGAAGGGAGGTAAATCCTCAGGAGGGCAAGTGGTTAAAATTTTTGTAAACACATGAAGTGACATGAAATATGAACCAAGCATATCTTTATATAGTGTGTACTTGTCTGCATCCAAAGTGTCATTTCTGTCTGCTGCCTTGTTCCTACAAGTTTTCCAGACACCAAGAGTTAAAAAAGGTGAAAAGGGAGAGAGCCCCAGCGCACAGCCTGTGATTGACAGCCTCAGCTCTGTTCCTGTGTGCTCTGAAGGAGGGAGTGTCCTTTCTCTCCAATCAGCTCTCAGCTCTCCTCACTGAGCTCTGCAGAGTGTAATTTCAGCTCCAAGCCCCCTGTTTTCTGGGAGCTCAGGCAAGCTGTATAAATTCTTCACTTTGAAAGGCTGTAGATGAGACTGCAGGTACAACTTATGTCAGAGGATTTGTTTAATCTCTGTGTATCACCTAAGGTTTCTCGTCTCATTGGGTATACATAAAGACTTACAACCACTATAATAGGCTTTACCTCTGTAGCATGTAAATTTAAAATAAAATTAAATAGTGTAAATAAAAGTTAAACTTGACCCAAATGTTTCTGTACATCTTCCGTGAATTGTGTGCCGACATGCACTCAGTTCTGTGGTTGCATTGTGAATAGACGCAGCAGGTCACAGGCAAAAGGTACAGAGTGAATGACAGTGGCTGTATACTATGTGATTGCTGTGACTAATCACAATATATAAAAACAGCTACAGCTAGCAGCCATGTGTCACTTACTGGATGGGAAAAGGGAAGCATAGTTTGCTCTCAAAAACTGATCAGTGCATGAAAGTAAAGCACCAGCAGTTCATACCAGTTAAACTGAGTATAGTGCCAGCAGTATTAAAATCAACCCCCCTTCCCCGCTGTCCCTTACCTCTCTATTGCACATGTCAGTCTCATCCATCTCTGATGTGACTTGTATATTAACCCCTCACCTATCCAATCCTGCACATCTGTACAACCCCCTTCTACTATGTGTGACCTGCACATTAACCCTTTCACGTTATGATCCTTCTGTGTATGATCTGTACATTTAATGTACCTAGTGCACTAATTTCTTTATTTAAAAAAAATATGTTTCTTTATTTAAAAAAAAATTGTGGCAAAAAATCAGATCACCTTGGGGTGATCAAAAAGGGGTAATGTCAGGGGTTTTCATACAGTCCTGGCATTTTTTATACAGTATGTTATATTGTAGCCTCCCTGGCGGTATTCCTGAGTGTAGCTCGGGGTAAAAGTTTCAGTACCACAACCGGTAACCCCGAGCTACACTCGGGCTTACCATGCGGCGCTGCTCCGGGATCTGTTCTTCACTTACCTTGTCCTGCACTCCCGCGATGTCCCTCCTGTAGCGTCTCCTGTAATGTCCTACGGCCGATGCCAGCATCTGTCTTCTGGGTTCCGTCGCCTGCGACGTTGGGACGTACGGGGGACAGAATGGCGGGAAATTTGAAAATGACAAAAAGTGACATTCACTAAACACACTAAAATTACATAGTAAAACATTACTGTATCAAACCATTTCACATACATTTTGTCCCTAGTGCTTTGTCCTGTGCCCTGCCTGCATTTTTACTGTTCTTTCTGCCTGGAAACTGAGAAACGTCCATGGCGTCCAAACAGCGTCCTTTTAGGTCAAAATCGGTTTTAGACCAGCTAGAGAACAGCGATAGTAAATCAGAACTACTTGCAGAATTGAGTGATAATGATTCGTGGGGAAATTCGTCATCAGACACTGAAAACGATTTTGCAACTTTGCTCAGTGATGTGCGAACTTGGCGATATATTTCAAATATCAGTGTTTTTGGTTTGATTATATTATTGAATTAAATTTAGTATTATTATATTATTTTTTATGATTATTTATTCAATTATAATTTATGATTTCCTGTTTCAAATTTTATCATACCCGGGATGTTTACTAGACTCTTGTTCAGACAGATTTCAGTGAGTTATTCCTAAAAATTACAGGCCTACAATAAAGAAAATACATATTTCCATGCAAAAAATGTACTGCTTTGAGCACAGAAATATGGACATAATCAGACCACTAGGGAGGTTAAAACATATGTATCACCCTACTGCAATGTCAGCCGCAGTATGCTAAAACAGACACAAGATGGCAGTGTCCTGAAACTCAGTGACACACACACTCTGGTAAAAGCTCTATGGATCTAACCAGATGAGCTGTAGGACGTTGTTAGAAGGCTGCTAATTGGGGGACTACATTTTTCCCAAAACAGCTGGGTGTGTAGGCAGAGGCATACAAATTTGGAAGCCCAGGAACAGGAAGTGAGAGAGGGAGAAGCAAGGCTCTGGGGGAGAAGGACATCAGAGCCAGACAGCAAGCCACTGGAGTCCACTTCTGCTGTGCACCCGAGTGGAGGAACAACCATACCGCCCAGCACCATCCCAGAGGGAGAGGCAGGCTGCTGAGAGAGAGAACCACTCTGCCCAGCATCACCAGCCAAGGAGGGACGGAACCACTGCCAAGGTATAGACGTGCTGCATCACAGACCAAAGTGTTCCAGAGCAACTGAAAGCGATCTTCCATGCTGAGGGATCACTGCCGCAGCTTCACTGGGTCTGGTAAGAGGGACTGTTGGCTGTTACCCACTACTGTACTCAGGGGGACTGAGCGCTTAGGAACTGCTGCTCTGCCTTTCTTTAGCTCTAATAATGCCTAGATAACATATTTACGGCTGCAACGAGCTCCATCATCATACCAGCCGGTGAAGATCAAGAATTAAAGCCTACCCCTTCCCATAACCATACTCACCCAAGGCCCAGCTGTTGCTATTCAAAGTGCTGCTCTACCATCTCCCATTCTTTTGAGTGCACTCAAAACTGTTAGGGAACTGTTATCCCTTTAGACATTTGTTAGAGTACAGTAGTGCTTATTATTATTGATTTACCTTTTCACGTGTTGATTTTTCTGCTGTTGATATAGAGCTGCTTACATAGAGATATATTTGTCTTACCTTCATTACCAGAGGACAGTTTTACTTTGCCTAGCAAGGTGCACTTAAATAGCCATTTATGCAAGCTCTTAATTACAGTCTAACAGTGTCTACCACTAAGCAGGTGTCAAGGTCCTACCTTTTCCCAGAGGTTATGTTACTCCATGTGCTGGCATCCATCTTGGATTTTGCTGAGCATGGTGGGAATCTTTTATGCCTTCAGGTCTCTGAGGTCCATCCCCCAGAGGGGTGTGGCTGAGTACATATAAGCCTGTGATCCTCACATGCTCTTTGCACTTGTGTCTTGTGTCTTTGTCTTGCTACAGCTCTGTGTATACGCTCGTGACTCGTCTGGTATTTGTCTCGGCTTGTGACTAAGACCATTCTCTGTGTTTTCCTTTGATCTGACCTTCCGTTGCTGAACCTGGCCCGTGACCTGTTATTCTCTGTCTACTGTTCTGTACCGTTTTGTCCCGTTGTTGTCGACCCGGCTTGCCTGACTATTGTCATTCTCACCAGCTACACGCCATTGGCGGCGGCCATTACCGCAGCCGGGGTGTCTCGGGGGGCCGTGACCTGGTACCTGGCTGCGTCAAGTCCATCCCCACCATCAGGGGCCTGGTGAAGGGCAGCCTGGGACTTAGACTCCGCGCCCTGAGGGACTTCGGTCTGT